CACATATGGGATTCACTCCCAATGAAACAGGCCAAAAAGGGTCAATTCTTCTAAGGCACTTAGGGGTGAAGTCCTTTTTCATAGTTTCTTTCAAGCCAATGAAATCCAGGGAATGATCACTGATCAGGTCAGAGAGGCAGATGGCCATTCCTTTCTTGCCTGCCCTCCCGTAGTTCCAAATGAGGCCTCTCATTTGGAACTTTTTTTTTATGAAATTGAGACCGAGTAGCCCTACCAGGAGGCATAGGAGGGCTACAGCGAGGTTCCTCTAAGAACATTGGATTTTTTTTCCTGGCTTCTATTCATAGGTCTGGATAGCTTAACATTGGATTTTTTTTTCTTAGGGTTTCCTTTTTTTTGTTTGCTAGCAGAGATCAGCTCATGCATAGCCTCTTCCTGATCTAGCCAGGTCAAAATGACCTGGGCTGTTTTGCCAAGGCCATTGGTAATAATAATGTCCTCATCATACTCCCCAGGATTATCCCATTTTATTTCTTTTTCATCTAGATTTTCCCTAACCTTTTCAAGTTCTCTAAGAACATTAACATATGTAAAATCATTGTCAGGAACGATAACACCCATCTCCGCAGCTCTATTCATCAGTTTAGTATTTGATAATGAATCGAAAGAACTTTTGCAAGATTTTTGAATATTACATCCCAGGTCTCTCTGTTGAGCGAGACGGATGGCCTTGGCTTCAATGTTCTCATGCACTTCACGAGCATTGAGTTTACTGAACCTCAGAGCTGCTTCATGCGCAAGCGGAGGAGTGAGAATCACCTCATCACCACATTCAGAAAAAGGTAATTGTACCACACAGTCACTGGACATCTTCAGACCTGAATCCACGTCGCCCTTCACCTCCACAATCTGAGCAGAATTAGTAAGCATGGTAGCGTAGGACAACGAGCGACAGACTACATGTGTTTTAATTACCTGAACCTCCTTAGGCTCAATCACAGGCTCCCACAGTTTCCCTGGCACAGCAGAGGTGCGATATGGTGGACTTGATTAAATTGGAGGGATTTGGAGTCGAACCGACATGTCGGATTCGACGTGGCGTACGCGTCCAGGTATCCTATGTCCGCCTCGCATAGGAGCTGAATATGAAGGGTGTCGGACATCCCATACGTTTGACCAGATCTTGAGGGTCTGGTTAGGTGACTTTTTTTGTTTGACAATGTTAAACATATTCGCCCGGTTTAGGAGGTAAGTGGACGGTCCGGTTGTAGATGCTCTTACTTCCGAGCACATGTTAAAACCAACTTATTTTTTAATAAAAAAACTTCTAATATGAGATTTTTGTTTGGATAAGTGCATAGAGTTTCCCTAGAAATGTTTATTCGTGAAACTGTCTTGGAAAAACGGAGGTAAAAGAAGTGCCGGGTCCATACGCCAGAACAAGCAGAAAGATTATCAGGCCGGGTCAGACCCAGAACGCCCTGAGCCACCTCCCACGAACCCAGAACGCTGAACGCTGAACCTGAGGGTTGGACGGGAGCTAGGGTTTTAGCCGCCGGCCATGGCCCTCTCCTCGTCTGCCTCCACACTGCTCCGCCGCCTCCTCGGATCCACCCCCCTCTCATCCTCCCGCTCCTCTGTACTTCGCGCCGCCTTCTGCTCCTCCTCCTCCTCGGGCCCCTCCCCCACCTTGCCACCTCCGTCGACCATCTCCGGCGATGACACCGAGGTCGCCAACGTACCGCCGCTCACCACCCCCAAGCTCTTCGTCAGCGGTAACGATTTTCCTCCCGTCCCCTCCCCTCCCAACCCGCATAGCAGCTTTTTCTCTACCACATCGCTACAAGTTAGTCTCGGGGAGAGGGCGAGCCCATTTTTGGGGATGAATTTGGGGATAGCTTTAGATGTTTACCATGTGTTCTAATCCTGCCCTGGCAAATTAGAGCAATCAATGTAGATGCTCTCCGTGCAAATTAATCTAACTGTACCACTTCTGGTCTAATGATATCTATGTGCATATCAGACGTGTCTTAGCAAGAACAACTGATATGCTGAATTGGAGTAAACCATTGCGCTATCAATTAGATTGGTTTCTGAATTGTTTCATTGGTATGGGCTTCTGCATCGCTGATCATACTACGCCAAAGCTCCTATGTGATATGTCGCATTTGTGTTTGGACTTTAATTGCTGGTCTCAGTAACTAACTGAAACTTTGCGAGTGTAGCCCTGCTTTGCGCTGTTTTTTTTCCACATGCGCATGATCATATATTTTATATGCAATGCAATTGCAGGCCTTTCAAGGCTAACGACAGATGAGAAGCTCAAGAGCGCGTTTGCTCCCTTCGGACAGCTTCTTGAAGGTACAAAGGCTTGCTTTCGCAATAATGTTTCAGTCAATGTTCATTTTCATTGCTCATTGTGTCTTGCTTGTCGCCTTGTGCAGTGAAAGTCATAACAGATAGAGTTTCTGGGAGATCAAAGGGCTTTGGTTTTGTAAGGTACGCGAGTTTACAAGAAGCTGAGACCGCACGGCAGGAAATGAATGCCAAGTTTCTGGATGGATGGGTCATTTTTGTCGACCCTGCAAAACAAAGGGAGCAGAAGCCTGCTCCTCAGCCGGATACTGCTTCCTCCCACACCGGCTTCACGATAAATAAAACTGTAGGATGGTGTGGTTAGTTGCTTAGGCTCTTGAGTCCTACAGATCACCTAGCAAGGGCATGGATATGCTGTTCTCGTGTGTTTAGGGTTATTAATCTGCTGTAAGATGCTTCTGATTGTTGTTCTAGCCATAGAAAGTTAATGGCATTACTACCTGTATTAATACATAAAATGATAACGCTGTTCCTTTTTTGAGATAATAATGTTGCTCTTTGTGGCTTCACACGATTATCTGTGAAAATCTTCCTGTTGCTTAGATCTGTAGAAAGTAGCCCATCTCCACGTTGCTAACATTTTGCCAATTTTAGCTCAGAAATGCATCAAGATGCTGTCCAGCCTTTTGATTATTGTTAAGAGCATCTCCAATAGATGATGCAAATTTGGAGATGTAAAATTAGGTGTTGTATAATTTACATCACCCACAACTGTTGTTTACATCTTCAAAAAAGAGCCAACTCCAACAGATGATGTATATTTGTGATGTAAAACTCCAACTCCAACAAATGATGTATTTGAAGATGTAAAACTAGTGCACTGAACCTACTGTCAAAACTCGAGCGCTCCCGCTGCAGCTTGCCGGGGCTAGCGAGGATGACCGGAACCGGCCGACGATGGAGAGGAATGGGTAGGGGAGGTCGAGAGGAAGCCAAACCGGTTGCGACCCTGGCGAGGATGGCCGAAATCGGCCGACGGTGGAGAGGAATGGGCAGGGGAGGGCGAGAGGAAGCCAAACCGGTTGCGGCAGCACGGGGCGGCACCGGAGCTGCCCGTAATTGGCCGACGACGGTGGAGGCAAAAAGGGGATCGAGCAGGCGGCGGGCCGGTGAGGCAGGCGGTGGGGGACGGGGGGCGAAGTCGCAGCTGGCCCGGCGGCCGCCGGAGAAGCTTCGATTCGGCAACGGCCAAAAGTGAATCAACGACTGCGGTCGACGGGCCGGCGGTGGGGGACTGGGGCCGAAGTCGGGCGTGGGGCGGCGGCGTCGATTTGGTGCGGATTTGGCCAGCAGCGAAGATGGGCGGGTGGCAGCTGGTCACACGGAAGGGAAAGGAACGGCGGTTGGCAGTTGGCGCACGACCAGCGATTTTACATCTCCTATAGGCGGAGATGCAAATTTGCACCGCGTGGTGTTACTTTACATCTCCGGGAGATGAAGATGTATTTTTTTTTCATCTGCACCATCTGTTGGAGCAGTGTTTTGGGGCCTCGGAGATGTAAAAGATAGTTATTTTTGCATCTACATCGTCTATTGGAGATGCTCTAAGAGACTCAAAGAGCTCAAAATTTTCCACCAAAAACGATCTGCTGACACAACATACTACTGCAACGGACTAACCTCTAAGATCTACAGTACTAAACTGACTTCACAGGCTTGAAATGAGGCACCTAAAGCACTAGGACATGAGAGCATATGCCGCTACATATACGCTACAAAGCCCTATATACAAAGGTCGGGCTTCTAATCATCCATTAGAGAGCATAAGCTACAAAGCCTATGCACTCGGTTCTCCCATTGTAACTTGGTTACTCAAAACCTCGAGATAAGGTGCACTCGGTTCTCCCATCGTAACTTGGTTACTCAAAATCTCGAGATCAGGTGCAGACAGTTCTCCCATTGTAACTTGCTTACTCAAAATCTCGAGATCAGGTGCACTCGGTTCTCCCATTGTAACTTGGTTACTCAAAACCTCGAGATCAGGGTTGACAGCTAATGATTTCTGCATCAATGTTAGGCCCTCGAACATCACCAAGGGGTGTGCCTCTAGCAGTGACGACTTCTGGCAACAGGACAGCAATAGAAGTGCAATTAAATTAGCGCTACTGGAGTGATATCGATGATGTTAGATCGAGCAGGGAAGCCCGGAAACAAAAAGGAAAAGTAGTACTCCCTCTGTAAACTAATATAAGAGCGTTTAGATCATTAAAGTAGTAATCTAAACGCTCTTATATTAGTTTACGGAGGGAGTACGTGATTACCTCTTGATCTGATAAAATGGTGAAGCCAAGTTTCTTGGACCAGATTGGTACCATTTCAGGATCAACGGGTGCCATAAGAAACTGAACATTCAGGGCTGTCAGATGTGATTCGATTTGTCTCAAGAGAAGTCTGAAGTAGCCCTGCACAGAGACAGACCAAAACCTAAGGATATTAGTTGCTACACAGATGCGTTAAATGTTGGTTACATTAAGTATCAAACCAGTACAGTAAAAGCCTTCATTATTTTCTGGTCAATAGAAGAAAAATTGAAGCAAATCTAAGGGCCTAAGTTATAACAACCGCAGGTCCACTTCTAACAGTATATGCTCTAGAATCCGTACAATTAGTTCTTGCTAATACCAGTCTTGATCTTTTGTCTAAACCATATTCCAAGTTATTATACTAACAGAATATTTTTACTCTTCTTTAGTGTTTAAGAACCTCATCATATACAGATGTACATTCTCCAGTTATAGTCCCAGCATCATTCTTAGCATACAGACATAAAAAGAAAAGGAATTACGTCTGATAACTGACAGAGTTCACTATTGTGGACTAGACAATGTAAGTTCATTCCCACCTTTTTTCTGCACTTATTATGTGTAGCGACAAGGACAAGTTCTGCAACTTCTTCCGTGCGCACTTTCAGAATCGCAGCTGACACAACGAGTTTACTGCAATACGACCATACAAAGAAAAAAAGGTATGATTAACCAAAATAGTGTAAATAGAAAATAGAAGCACTTGCTTGCTTGTTCCTCTCCCGATTTCAGGTTCCAGAAACCAAACCATTAGCAGTTTATATTAGTTACACAAACGTAAAGACTTAAAATAGTATTGTCGTTGCTTTGCACAGACCAATTGAGCAAAAACTGCTAAAACAATATACATGACTTGACCAGAAAGGTACCTGCTTGTGGTTAGTACTGCACAATACATTCCTCTAAAATCATTTTTTCCTCCTACATCCGTGCTGCAAAAAATGTGATTTAGTGTATTTATTTGAGTTGACTAGATGGACAGAAAAAATGCAGGCCAGATGCACATTGATGAAACTATTCGTACACGTTGCAGATTTAGTCAAGAACTTACGCAATAACCATATCTCGTATGACATCACCTTCCAGGTCAGCTGTTTCCGGGAACGCAACCTATAAATACAGAGATTAACGTGAGACTTTTGCAGCCTACAAGCAATATGACAGCCATGGTTTGGAAGTTTATCACTGGCGAAACAAGGTTTTAAGAAAAAAAAGCCATAAATCCCTCACAGAAAGAACTTACTTTGAAGATTCCAATAACCTGATCTATGAACTGCTGCACATCACGCCTCGGATTCATTCCACTTAAAAGGTGCCAAAAAACATTGGATCTTTTATGTCTGATCTTTTCTCGCTTATTTAGTTCTTGGTGCAAAGAAGCACGAAGTAACTGACATTTTTTACAGCAGAAGAAGTGACACTGCATGTATTCTCTCAAAACATTCAGAGGTTCCTGAAATAGTCCATACAATGAGTCAGCAATGTCTTTCGCCATGATAAGCTCTCCACCACATATGAAGGAAAGGTTAGTCACATACATTGTTTTCTTGAAATCCACTATTGTAGCATTTCACATGGCATGGTCTCTCACACTGTAGATATGATTATGGCATAAATTTCAAGACAATGTTCCAACAATCAAAGACGACACTAACGAGAAAAGAACTTAGCAGAACTAACCTGGTTACAGAAGATAATCATGTCTTCGCTGATTATCCCAATAGTCGTACAGGCATCGCTGTCAAAAAAAGATGCAGAGTTTCATATGAAGGATAATCATGTGAATTCAACAGTGTGCATAATCTAATTCTTACCCACATAAATGGCAGCTCTCAGTATCAACAACTCTTCCTTGTAATGTCCGTTTCAATGGAACAATGAGAAGTCTACTGGTGGTAGAAGGTTCTTTCCTACAACCTGTAATAACGCAAATGATTGTCACAAAGATTGAGGACCATAAATTGTTTACTCATATTACTCAAACATGGAGTCCATATGATCATTGGTTCCCTGTCTGAAGGTAAATCATTCAATATTGGTACCACAAGCATCCAATTGAATTTGGGTTCTATTACTATTACCATG